TTATTGGAATAATATTACGCATTTCTCTCAATTACACCATAGTTTAATTAGGTACTACACTACTGTAAACAACACTAATGTATAAATATTATCAATATAATTACACTGCAGCTGGTTTGCAGAGCAATGAATAAATAAAATATGAGGGGAAATCGAGAAACCAAGATCATTTTAGTATATCATTTTGTTTTCTTTCTTATAAAGCTGAAAAGGGGACTTACGTCTCGCATCCTTTTTTTAATGTTCAGGGCCGGGGTATATAGTTAAGAATCAAAATTGACAAAACAACCCAAACTAAAAAAAACATATTTTGTTCTTTTTAAGCCCAGAAAATATTAGGTATTTACCTAAAAATAAGAATTTTTTAGCGCATACTCAAAAACACTTGACTGGGTCAGGCTTTTTTTTTAGGCCCCGGATAATAGCACCTCAATTGTGCATACAGATACAATAAAATATTACTATTGTTATTACATATTATACAAGGGGTCTGTGTTAAAGCACAAATGTACAATTGGTTGATTGAATTGTAACGCTTCTCTTTTTTTTAGCACAATCCAACAAACATTTAAGGGAACCAAAGACGATTATTTTTAATTAAAGTTATTTTTTTCGGCGTTCTCGTATATAGTATAAACTAAACGCTTAAGCTACATAAAACACCGCATTCGCTCGACAGGAGGTACGACTGCGTTGTACAATAATTATTTTACATGCAAACGCATTTAGTTTTAATTAAATTTAACCGTCCAATTATTTATTAATATTTTATCTAAACCAAAATCATCTTTAAATCCACAAAATATGATTTCAGCCTTAGTAATTTAATATTACTCGATATATATTTTGTTGTTTACCTACAAGCTTTTACGAAATATTATTTGTTATGTTATATTCTTCATGGTAACGAACAGTTTCGTTTACTTATTATGAAATTATATAGATGCATCCTAGGCTCATGTTTATCATTATCATGTTACTAGAAGGCAACACTAGTTGATAATCATCGACATCCTGTTGGAATAGGTCAAGCGGTATAAAGCATTATTTTTTAAGCGATACAAACGAGACGACAATTTACACTTGTCAAAAAATTAAACCTACATCTGTAGTATTTAAGAATTTTTTAGAAATATATATTTTTTTATAATTGCATATAATGCGAAGTATCATTTATAAAATGATACTAAATAAATCGTATAAACTATAACTATTACGCATTTAAAACGACAATATATTAGTCTAATAAAAACAAAACGGTTTTTTATTTATTTTTTAACGATAAAAACAGGCTTCATAAAAACAATAACAGTTTTTTATATAAAAAAAAAAACGGGTCATAAACACGCTTGTTTCTAACATACTACTAACTCAGCATTATGGTTTCTTTCTATATTTTAAATAGATTTTATACTAAAACTAAAATATTAATTCCAGATTGCACTAAGTTTTGGTTTTGAGACTAGGACCATCCTCTGAGGCTAGAAGTGTTTTAATGCTTGTAATACGTTAAAACTCATATTGATAGTTTGTGCACCCCTAACAACTGCGGACCATCAAACGACAGTTTTATTTTCAATTATAAAAAAAACAAGTAGGTATTCCCTTCAACTTAAAAACACATCCCCACATACATATAGGATGTTCTCAGGCTGTTTTGACTAATGTACACAATATAAAGAAATCGTAGGCAAGAATAATATGTAAATTTATTCAGGAAGATCTCGCTCACCCTATGCGCACATATATTATACGGTTGTCTTCTCTCGGCGACCCTCGACTACCGCACCGACCGGCCTAAACACGAACACAAAAGCCGCCATTCTCCTGCGTTTATATCAACCGATCAACCCCCCCCCCCTCATCACCTAAAATAAAATAAATAGTAATCCGAAGACGACGTTAGTATAGAGTAGAGAGACAGTTATTATTACCGAAATCCGAGGGTCCGAGTTTTTATTTATTGGGTTTTGTCCGGTGATTTATGTAACGAGACGGGCGCGTCGGAAGTCGATTTGTATTGTGTCTCGCTTCCCATCGACCAGCATGTATATATATGTGTGTATATATATATATATATATATATAGGAGTTAAAACGCGATGGAAAAGTCTACAGTAGCGAGAAAAACTTAACAAGACAGGAAATTGGCGAAAGGAAAACGGAAAAGATACATAAATATATCTGTCTGTAAACAAGACTTGTTGATCCAGACAATAAAATATTTGTATATATATATATATTTATTTATTTGTAAATAGTGTGTGAGCGCAGAACCGGTGTTATAGACAAGAGAGCGAAGTGCACACCCGACGGGGCAAACGGGTAAAGTGGTAGGGGAGGGTATGGCCGGTTGTTGCAACATGTGTTTGCGCGTCTCCGTGGCCGAGACGGGGGCGGCCGCGGCGTTGCCACGTTTTTAGTCAGCGTCGGCTCACCCCAATCTAGTGTCGATCCCACGTCCCCCCAATGGGATGCACGCCCAGTAATCGGCGACGACTAGAGATTTTTGCCACACGCCCAACCCCACCCAACGAGTCCAACCATGTCCAAACAAGTCTTGACGATTTATTAATCAATTTTTTTTAATTTATATCAAATTATACCCTATGCGGGTATTATACCTTTATTTATTTTAAAAGACGTTCAAGAACTGTATAACCCAACACTGTCAGCATTGGTCAAAACTGACAAAACTTGGTTGTTTTTTGATACACGTTAACCCCAGCTGTAGTCCATAAATTGCATCGAATAACAAGTATTTGTTGGGTTAAACGAAAAAGGAAGATTGCACAGAGCAAATTATTTTTGTGAACATAATGTACGAAAATACCGTTTATTTATCATTCGCTTACAGAGAATAGAGCTTTTTGGTTGCGCTTATGACTTTCGAATTATCGATTATGATAGTCGATAATTGTCGTTTACAGTATTAATAACGCAGTGTACGTTCAATAATCATTACGGTTAATCGAGAGAAAGAGATAGTAATAAATGCGTTCATTACTTGTGCGCAATAGATATGACGGTGCCTCTTTCAAAAATAAAATTAATTAATGTTATTTTTGAACATCAGGTCAAATTATTAGTATCAGTCGTATATTGGACGTGCACTCGGGAGAGAAAACCTAAGTGGTTACATAAGACAGGTTCAATATAGTGTATACTTTTAACATTCGACTTTAGTATAGTTCATTCCCAGAACAGTTGTGCTACTCTCTCTCTCATAGCTCTCCTAATGGAGTATATTCAGATACGATAAAAAAAACGATTCCACGATTTCATTAACAATAGTTGTTGTCTGTAACGTTTCATAAACATACACAGCTCGCATTCCCAAAGAAAACAAACAGTTTAATCAATACATTTTATTCATTGTTCAGTGACCGTTTAATCTCTTGAAATATAAAACCAATTCAAAACAAACAATACATTTTAGTTAGATTATTTTTTTTAAACTTATTTTTTTTAGTCGATTTGTGATGGTAGCGGCGGCAGCCACGACGGAGGTTCCAAGGTTATCTAATTTCCTTTGCACACAAGGCTATACAATTATTATTGTTATTTTGTTTATAGTCGCTTTGGGTAACTAAAAAACGTATATTACGAATCCTACTATTAAAAAACGCGTTTGGTTGTAAATTTAAATAATAACGTTCCAAAACCTACCGGTCAGCGTGTATTGCATTTGAACGCACACTCTTCCCCCTTCGATAATTCGTTAATTTATTATCATTTGTACTTCCACCCGATTACGTACAAATTACACACAAACACAAATAGACAGTCGACCTACAACAGTCGAGCATTTTCATGATTTCACTCGACTCGTTTAACATGCAGTTTTTATTAAAAAAAAAAAAACACCGTGTTTACAAAGCTGCGACGGGTTTGGTACAATTTTTTCTCTCTCTATAAACGACCATGACAGATTTACCGCTATGCGATCAAGCCCGCTGCCGACTCCGATTTAACACACACACAAACACCCAAATACGAGATTTCATCCTAAATAACATACGACTAGTCGGCGGGGCTTTAACACTCGCATAATAATAAAAATATATATCCAAGCCGACAGAAGAAATCTGACGGCTAGGGCAGTAGCTTGAATTTGTATGGAATGTTTAACATCTGGTTATCTTTCTTATGATTTGTTCGTTCACGTTACGACGAGGAGACGGCATAATCGCGGTACAATAAAATAGAGTTACCAAAATAACATTTTTTTTTTTTTATGAATTTCGTTTACTTATAATAACGATATAAATATCAACGGATTCCAAAGAGTTTAGGGTGGTAGCATATGGGTAGATAGGGGGTAGGAAAAAATAAAAAGGTTCGGACAAACAGGTGAGGAGTCAGCAGCAGCTGCTACTGTTGCCGCTCTCACACATACATCATCGACGCGTCGCAGTAGTTAAGGGCGGTTCTATATCATATATATATATATATAATATATATATATATATATTATAATACATAGAGGTATTCCGCGTTGCAAAAAAAAAAAATAACAATAAACCGCGTCCGTGCGTTTGCAATCCGTCAAGGGATTATTATTGGACATCGACAACGATAAAAATATTTATTCGGAAAAATTATGAAATTCCCGACTCTATATTGTTATAACGAGCCTAGGGGGAAAACATTATTATCCAACAATTAAATTAATACGAACGGTAGGTACCATACGGTAATACGGTTGGGCGTAAACGCCCAGTTATACTATATTGAATTCAAAATGGGAAATGTGTAATTTATATAAAAATAGAAGTAATAATAACATAAATGTCGATAACGATAATGAATAAAAATGCGGTCGCGCTTTTTCCCGTCCAATCCGGTCTATTAATAGTTGACTCATCGAGAACCGGTAGTAGCGGGTGTGCAAAGCCCGGCGCGCGCGTTCGTGCCACCATATGTTAGGGTGTTGCGCGTGCCGCCGGCACACTGCTTTTCGTTACGCCGAAAAAAAAAAAAAAAAAGCAAACTACTCACCACGCCTTGACCCTGATGATGACTTCGCCTTCGCCTAGGGTAGGTTCGGGCTTTTTCAGGATCTTGACGGACTTGAGGCCACCGAACCCGGTGAGCACGACCGCCTTCATCTCCTTGGGCGGTTCCTCAGTGGCCGCCGCCTTACCGTTTCCCTCGGCTTTGGTTTGCTCCGGGGTGGCTTCTGCTTGTTTCTCCGGTTGTGCGGCAGCGACGTTTTCTTCGGCCATCGTGTATCGAAATCGGTTTAATTGGACAAAAAAAAAACAAATATGTATATTATCTAACAGTCGTGGTTGAATTCACAGAATTGAACAGGTATGTGCGGCGCAACAGACTTTAGGACGATCACGGTGCAGCAGAGGATGTGTTGGCGCCGACAGCGTTGCCGAAAGAACAGAGCCGCGGATCACGGTAATGTGAGGGACCGGCGTTACACCACCCTCTCGGCGCACACCGCAACGAGACGCCTCAGTGTGACCACACCGACAACGAACGCATACCGTACAGCGCGGCGCGGTCTGTACAGTTATTATAACACCGGCCGGTGTTTCGGAAAACCACGACTTCCCAATTGAGCCAATTATTTCACAAATAATAATACTATTGATTTGCCTTGTTTTTCTTTCTGTACATATTCATTCACTAAACAGTAAACGGTCATCATTTTTCAGTAATCCGTATAAAAAACATCCCCCATCTTTATCAACTGATTAAATTGCCATTAACTTTTAATTTGCAAATCGATGACTTAATTTCAAAATATCGTATCTACTAATTGTTAGTACAAACTGACGATTCCAGGAGAGCAAAATCAACATTTTCACAATCTTAAATCCAGAGTCAAAACATCTATTATGCAATCAAAATAAGTTAAAATTTTAGAAAAAATCACTACTCATTTTTTAAAAAAATATTTACACTTTTTTGGCTTGATACTTGAGGTTAAAAATTCATTTCTTGTTTTTTAAAACGAGAATATCTTTTTTTCGAAGGAATATTTTGAAAAAAAGGATGTGCTTATGTTCCCAAAATGTTAATGTTGAGAGATTAGATGTATGCTATTTTAATTTACAATATTTAGGAAATATTATTGAAGTGTTTAAAGAAAAAAACCGTTTAGTTATACTTAAAAAATTATGGTAATTTTTATTTTGTAGTATCATTTTTAAATATACTTGCTGTGAGTGGGTTTTAAGTATATTAAATAAAATCAAATGAAAGACAAATTTAACATCATCTCGAGATATAAAAATGTAGTTTGAGCACCAATTATATGCCCTATATGATAGATGCCAGTTATGATAGCATTATTGAATCGTTAACAGTTTCCTCTGGAATCGAAATAGATTCACAACTTTAATTCACATATCAACGGTTTATTCAATTGGGTCATAGAAAGAGTAAATTATTATACGCTCAGCCATTTACTAAACCTGTAAATTGGCTACACAACATTTTTAAATTTTAGGGGCGGCATTGAAAAAATTATAAATATTACATGTATAATTAAAGGCATTTAATACAAGGGAATCTGTGTCATAATGAACTCTTATTATAACCTTATAAAATGTAGTTTATTAAGATAATACCAAAATATATTGTCTATTGCCTAATACCCATCATAAACTTCATGTTTAAAATGTTCTGATAACTAAAAATTAAATAATGGATAATTAAATGGCAAACTCGTCATGCATTAGATAAATCTTATTCTTTGGAATTAAATAATATAATTGAGGTTTTATACATAATATAAAATAAAGTATTATCAACCAAATATTTTACTAATTACAAATGTACAATTTATAATTGTTTATAATTTGTTCTTTTTAAAATAAATTCAGTTCTAGTTATCATTTACTATTGTATCATTAGATTATTCGACCACATTTTTGGTCGAATGTTTCACTTTCATAATACAACAACAAAATAACCCAACCTCCGTTATTAGCATAATCTGTATCCGTAAAGTGTAAATTATAGTATATATGTATATATAAAGTGTATCCAGGCCTAAACCAAATATGACGCTGACTATTATGTATGAATTACTTATTATTTTTATTGAAAAATTAATAGCAGTTAATTTTTGTTTATATATATTTATATATATATGAAGCTAGGAATGAAATGTAACATAATATAACAAAATTTAATTATAATAATAATGAAATAACAAAAAATAGAATAAAATAAAAGTAGAAACGTTATGCCAAATATGTCCTCGGCAAATAGTAACACTAACTACTGAAACCTATGTAAATTAATAATATATCTTCGTGTAAGTACTATTATTATTATTATTACTAATTATACATAGTTTAATTTAAAAACGAAAATTTATTTTATTTTGTTATTAATATTGGCCAGTTTTTGTAATGTTACTAAAACAACGAAACTATTATAACGCAACACAAGTCACAACCGTGCTGAGCGACATACAGGTAATAATTTTAAAGGATTAAATAATTTTGGCCAGTTCAGTATTTAGCAATTTTTCCTGACTATTCCAAGTGTATCCATTTTCAGCTAATACCGTTAATAAATAAAAAATTGTACTCTGTGCTTATATCCGTGTCAAAATTGTATATCTCTATATGAATGAGGCATGGGGTATCTATTATAAAGACTGAGCGTTTTTTTTTCTTCATTTACTGGCATCCTACACACATCTACCAAGCTGTAACTGTATAGCGACCAATCAAGCTAATATTAATTTTTATGTACACCAGTTAAACCTAATAATTAGTGTCGGATGCATGAAACGAGAGAAGCAGACCAGCCAAAGGGCACTTTATTACAACGAGTCAACGCACTTTAAACTGTTGAAGTCTAAGCTGAATTTGTAATACACTGGTATCAAAATACCCTCGTAGAATAATAATTCCTCCAGTGGTTGCTATGACGTTTTGTGTGATCAAAAGTGGTTTTAATTTTTTTTGTTATAATTGTCATTAGATCGAATATAATTTTAAGTGTCCCGTCATACTTATAATAATAATTATCGTAGAGGGGCATGTGGAATAACGAATAAAATGTAAATCTTCCCATTCATATAAATATTATCTTAATACCGTAATTTAATTATTTTAACAAGCTGTTAATTAAACGGACATTCCGTTTCTTCCATGTATAAACGTTTTACAGGATTTATAACGATCGTTAATCACAATTTCGTTTTTATAGGTTATCTTAAAACCGAAAACGTATGAGATTAGAAAAACTAAAAAGTGACTGTAGTTGTGACATAATGCCATCACAATTATCATTAGGCCATTAGAGGCTAACTGCGTAAGGAAATAATACATGACGTTGCTCTCAACTCTTAAGTCTAGTTAGTAACTTCTGCTGCTATCCTATTTGTTCACTTGGCGATTTATTTGAATTTTGAAACTAAAGATTATACATATTATTAGCATTAGGCTTTCATTTGCGCTATTTAACGCCACTACCTTATGACGCGCCAGGACAATGAAAATAAAATATTAATAAATTAGTGTAGTAAATTTAGCTTTCATCTGCACAAAAGAACGTTACCGTTTTTTTTTAGTTATACTAGCGGAAACTTCATACGACGGAAAGAAATATTTTCAGGAAATATTGATTATGAGTCATTTCACATTATGTATAACTCTGTTCAGTGCTTGTGAGTCACACGACTTCTTTATGAATCATCTGATGGCCTAACGCTCAACAAGAATTCTTTGACAATAAAATATTTAGGTATTACTTGTCGACTAAGCATTTCGGAGTACTTACAATTTACATTTTCGATTTTTTTTTTGTGTCCAAGTCTAACCCGTCATTTGAGCCATCATTTAACCTACTATATCATATCTAACCAGTAATATTTTTGTTGGTCAGATGTTATGATACAAATATCTACGTATGAAAACTATTCGATTTTCAGGAATTCACGTTGTTCAATCGAATTAATTGTGAATGTTATTCAGTCATTAAAATAATTAGAAGTCGATAGCTGTAGATATATAAACAGCTGCTTGGTGGGTGGCCTCTGAAAGGGAAAGTGAGACTATTAGACTTCGCTATCGTTCCAAAAGAAAAACTGCCTTTTTGAAGCAATTAAACTGACAGATAATACACGTTGTCGGATTTTCTTCGAATAGAACTGACGCTACAAAGAACCTAGAATAAAAATTCATCACCAAATTAAATATTCGATTCTTAAATTATAGAATAATAAGTATATACACTTTTATATAATATTATTGATGAAAGTTAAATAATATAATGTACAGCCATTGTCTAATACGAACAGAATAATAAATGTATTGTAATCTTTATTTTGCCGAATGCCGAACAATACAATGTGATGTTCAAAATCTGCACTAATAGTGTATGCGTTGTAATAAACATTAAAAACATATTGAACCGTAGATTCTGAAGTGATGGACTTTGGACAAGTCATTTAAGTATAGCAATTTAGTTCCGGTTTACAAAATGTGTTTGCCACTAGGTATTTGATTTCAAATTGTCTTACGATACCCTTTAAAATACTTCCTTTTATTGACAACGGAAAATCAAATAATCGCATTTCGAAGAAACTAGATTTAAATAATTCTACAACTATTTTTTAACAAAAATGGTCTTTTATGGGATTTCTATGTATCTGTCGTGTCGTCATCTGCGGGAATTACTGAGCTGTCCGGTTCTCTGGTAGAATCCAGCGCTTTGTGTAACTTTTCCAATTCCAGCATTTGCGTGGTATAATGTTTGCCCTTTTTCGGCGGCTTCATCACCAGACGCAAGTTGGGCGACATTTTCAATGCTACCACGTGACTCCTGACAAGCAAATAACAATCTAAATTAAAAAAAATTATGTTGTACGATACGAAACGTTTCGTGATTATTACCTCGAACTGCCTACGACGACGATCGGCATTCGCCAATTAAAAGCCATTTTGGTTAGTTGGAACTGATTTTCCGGCTGTATAGGTTGACTGCAAATATTTTTATATTTGTCCGCGTCCAAATCGTAGAATACCATGTCACAGTCTTCGGTAACGACACCGAAAACAGTACTGGAAAACGGCGACCAGAGCACATCGGATACGCTCCACAACAAGTCGAACGTCAACAACGCAGTGCTAGTACGATTAAATTAAGCAACTATGGTTAAAATAGCAAAAATTATTAAGTAAAAATAAGTATAAAATGCCAAATAATAATCATTCATCATGGATGCCAGTAGGGTGGTAAAAAAAATCGTACCCAATTAAAATATGTTTAAGAATTTTCGTTGTTTTAAAATGGATAGACATCGTCTTATGTCGCTTCGCCTACTGATTGGCACACATCCGTCCGTGTCATTTAATGCTATACAATAGTCGCCGAAATTAATTAAAACTGTACATAACCTCAAAAGGGTTGGACTTGAAGCTCTTAAACAGCGAATAAAGTAAGTGCTAAAAAGTATTGCCTCTAAGCGGCGGACGCATTAATAAGCCAGTGTGGTATTATATGTCTAAGGAGAGCTAAGGGTGCAATAACGAAACGTTTTAAACAAAACTTACTCTGACTTGTCTTCCCAAACTTTAACCGTACAATCTCCACTGCACGATATGTAAATGTTTGGGTCGTATTTATTGTAATCAATTCGGTATACGGAAATTTCATGAGCTTTGAATTTTTGCATGAAAAACGAACTCCACTCAGTGTTACACTTGAATATATATCCCTCGTTGGTCCCGACTAAGTATAACCCGTTGTTCTCAGGATGGAACGCTATCGTCGTGCCCCGCCCTAATAAAAACAAAAAAAACGCTAAAATGTGTATTTATTATTCATGCAGAAACCAAAAAAAGATTCTTAATAAAAAATCTGTTGGATATATTTCGTTTACATTTTTAAGAAAATTGTACTTCCGGGCAGGATTATAACATTATATTCCGCACGGACGAACATTAAAACGTACCAATGAGTTTTTCGCTTATCCCGCCTAAAGTTATTTGCGGTTCCATGTCCAACACTAACGTGACGATAATAGTTTTGGACATTTCGCTTTGCATAAGCAACCAATTGCAAACGGTACCGTCTTCAGATATTGAATAGAAGTTCATTTCGCCGTCCGGCAAATCCTTGGCCCATACTACCTACGCAAAAAGGATGTGAATCTGGCAATCCAAATATTTGTGAATCGATTCGTCAAAGCAAGCAGTCAACAGGAAACTTCCTACTGACTGACCTAACCAGCCCGACTATGAAGTACGATTCACAACATGTTTTCGCAGCTCACCTGTCTCACGCAGCCTTTGTGTTTCGAATTTACCGAGTCCGTCATGTACTGCGGTTCTTTAGTTGGCAAACTCACATTATAAACAGCCAAATGACCATCGTGAAAACCTACAGCTATGAGAAACCCGTGTTGGCTATGGAAATCCAAACACATGGCTCCGCAATGCGTTTGATTTATGTATTCCGGATACGAAGGGTTCTTCAGAGACCATAAGCAAAGATAACCAATATCCGGGCTGTCCGTCAACGGTATGTGTCCTTGTGCTAAAATAAGACAGAACATTATTACAACAGTAATAATTTTCTACGACATTGTAAATCATCGATTGAGCTATAAAATAAATAGTAATAATGCTCACGAGTTCCAAGCGTGACGGCGAACATATCAAAATAATCAGGGCTCCAACTGATGTCGGTCACATACAGTGAGTCTGCTTTTTCGTATGCCATCGTCCATAACGGCAAGAGAGTTCCTTCCCTGCCCCTAAACTGATCCGACGGGTCTTCGTAGTAACGAAAATCTGTAAGTTACAGGAGTTTAAAATAGGTATTGATAAGTCATTCATCAAAATATGTTTACTATAGGGAGGGTATAACATGGAATTCAAATCCAGGACGTACGCAAGTATGTATTGCAAATGCAAGTATGTGGTTGCACTTTTAAAAAAATTCCACAGTATCAATAAGTTGTAGAGTAACGGCACCAGTGATTGGCACTGCTATAATCCAATGTTTGACAATGCAGTGTTTTTTATATCATATAAAATTTGTTACATATTTTACATTTTTTTTCAATGAATTTTGTACAATTTATCTCAATTGTACCTATAAAATATTAAATTTAAAAAAACGCTATATTGCCAAAAATTGGGGGAATGTCAATCACTGGTGCCCGTCCAGACAATCCGATGAATTTATTCTGGAGCCTTAATAGGCGCTATACTGATCCATAACATACTCGTAAGTTGGGCCAGACCTCATTTTTTTTCATACTTACCTTGAGCTATAGCGTCCATAGCGTTAAGATTGATTATTCGTTCTAAAAATTTTGCGGCCATTAACATTTTTTTTTCGGTCTGGTCTTCCGCCACTTCAATTTTCTTCTGTTTGGCCGTGTTTTTTTTGCTGGCATGCGTGGCTAATTTTTCCCTCTTCTCTCTCTCCTTTTCTTCCTGTTGTCTTGCGAAATCCTCGCTGTAGGCGTCGTAAATAATCCATTGCGTCACATGCGTGTTAAAGTCATCTTTTTCGGGGGGCGTTGTCTGAGCACCTTTTTCCTAAAAATACCGCAAGTTTTATGTTTTTTATAAAGAACTACGTGCTAACTCGCTAAAATGAAGTAATATACTATCCCTGAGTGCAGTGCTACAATATGATATAACTAATTACCCTCATAACGATTTCTTCAGTCTGCGCACAACGCTCAAAGAAATTAAATTGATTCATCAGTTTTTTCGTCACACATCTCTGTGTGATCGGTAGACTCTTAGATGTTATGGCAGATTCCTCCTTGGCTATTGCCGGTGGTGCGTCTTCGTCCGAATCTGATGTGGCTTTAGGTTTTGACGTGGCGTCTTCGTCCATTTCGTCTTCGACTTCGGCTTCTTCGATTTGAAAATCTTCGGTCTCACCTTCCCCCTCCTCCATTTCTCCTTGTACTACAACATCGGCTAAACCGGCTGCTACGTCATCACCTTCATCGCCTTCTTCGCCCCCTTCGTTGACATTACTGTCTTCGTCATCTCCGCCCAAGTCTTCTTCCACCTCTATAATACGGATAACAAAAAAAAAAATGCGTTTGAATGTTAAAACTCAAAATTCAAAATCGATCTTGATCATTTTCAAATAAACTTATTTATTTTACGGAATCGTACTACATAATTCGTTTTCGATTTGAATATTCGCGTCCGTCGATTCGCTGTGAAGTAACGTTGACTTTAAATTAATTAGTTCAACGTAAGGTTGACCTTTTTTGGCTGGCAAATATTCTCCTACTCTATAACTGTAAGTAACCCGAGCCGATTTTTCGGGTGGTTCGACGACCAGCAGAACATTGCCCAACGGCTCATCTAATTCCTATACATAAAAAGAACATTCGAATAATTATATTAACATTTACCAATTAAGTATGTTTGTTATTTTATCTTTAAAATGAATTACATGTACATTGTTATAATATATTGCAATCGGTTGCTTATTTTAAATTAATAGGTACGTTTTAGAAATAATTGTAAGATAAAATTAATAAACTCGATTAAACGTTATTAAATCGTGTATATCGTGTATGTTTTATGACTCATTAATATATAAAAGTCAAATTCAAATAGCGTTTTTAAAATAGTATCTATAGTTTTAGGTACACGTATTTGACAATATTTCCTGAAGACTTGATTGAAAATAATGATTATTTAATAACTGTCAACAAAAAAATTAAGTTAGCTTTTTTTTAGTTAATATACTCGATGAATATTGAGTACACAATGTGTTAGTTGTAAACAGCAGTTCGTCAAGAAAATTCTCTCTTGAGTCTCTTTGCTACGCCTTATACCTGTTTATTGATACCAATATTAATGATATCTTTAATCGTGATTGTTACTTACCAAATATTATTCCTGTCATAAAAAGGTTTTTAAAAATAATTTTAATGATTTTTCAAAATGATTTACTTCTTCAGTCAGTTTTAACTGATCTTCGGGTTTTACGGGTTCATTAGAAAATAACCCTCCAAAATCATCTACAGTTGGTTTTGATACTTTCACTTGACGCCGAGAAGCTTCTTTATTGAATGGTTTCCTTTGACCTTGTTGCGACTAATTATTTAAATCACAAATAAATGTTCATATTGTAGTAACAAATGCAAGTGCCATTATCAAGACTTTCAATGCTTACCAGCGATAATCTTGTTGACCTTTTGACGGTCTGCTCCAATTTTGGGGGCATTATAGATTTTATATCCGATTATTATGCACAATAGAGAAGAAATAACTAAAGTAACGATAGTTTTGTGAAATCCTATTTAACTTATAAAATGGTATTCTTCTACAGAGATATGATAGCCCTACCGTTGCTTATGTTGTCATAGAAACAATATACCTTAGGTATGTATTGATAAATCTTCTTGTGTGCACCTACAGAGAACTACAACGTAACTGTGTATTAATATTATTCAGAATACCTACGTGTTACTTATATCTCTGTGCTTGTCATTAATATTTTATTTATTAGATATTTCGCATAGTATTCACAAAACAATATTGGCTTAACACAAAACTAAATCTGATCAAGTTGTTTTTAAATAGTTGAGTGTTTTTTTTAATGTTTATACACAAATTAAATCTTTTGACATAGGTATTTATTATATTTTACCGTTGCGAAAAATAACCTGTATGGTATATTTTGATTCGATAAGTAACACTATTTCCAGATCTATAATAGTTTATACCCACCAATTATTATTTTAACCCTTAATTTGGCATTATACCTTTTAAGATACATATATTTTATTTATAGTATTCCATGGCCAACCTAGAAAGTACTAACTACTATTATTTTAATTATTTTCGAATATTAAAAATTGGTCCTTACTAAGATAAGGAACCAATTATTATTTACATATTTTCACTAATTTGATTTGTTGAATACAAGAATTCTAAATTGTTTTTTTGTTTATGTTACATAGCGTTTATGTTGTAAAATAATAAGAAAATTAAATCATGATTATCGGTCATTTAGATTAAAGATATTTTGTACCTAAATAGTAAATACTTACTGCAGACTGCAGGAGGTATAATTTAATACCATTATCCAATGACCTACTTGCTACCCTATCTAATACACAGTTCTACATGTGTTTGCATTGTAAATTATTAATTTACAAATGTATCTAGTTGTAACTTGTACCTATAAATAATTACAGTCTATTGAGTAGAAATTATTTTCTAAAGCTTCCAAATGAAATTGAAAGATATCACTTGTCAGGTATATAAAATAACTTATTATTAGTCCTATTGGGAATTTATTTTTAAGAATAAAGTAGGTCTAAAATATTTAAAGAAACCGATGTATGGACTTATCAGATGTTCTCTAAATACAACTGATATAGAGCTTATAATAAAACACGTCTGTGAACTTGAAAATTGGTATATATTATAATATATCTAATATGCTTCAATAATAGGAAGATTTAAATTTTAATTGATTTTGTTAACAACGTTAATCAACCGTTATAACATAATTTTTCTCTTGATGTAATTTGTATTCCTGTGTAATGTGCACAGGAATTGCAAAATTTTGTACAATTGATGAAATTACATAAAATGTCTTTCTCGATTTGTAAACGGCACGTTGTGGTAATTATTCGAATTTACTGAAATACAATATATTTAACAATTATAAACATCACATCCTTGTATAATTATCCCCATTATTGAACATTTAGTTGGTCTGGAAACACGATCGATTACATTATATTTTATACTTTTTATTATATAGGTGCAGATTTGTTTTTGGTGAAGTGAATTTATTGTACTATAAGTGCGAATTTATTAAATATTAATCAACTGTCAAGTCTCAAATGATGAAAATCAGTATAAATGTAAAATAACCAATAACCCATAAACATATTATAACATGTCTATGGAATGACCGATGACTGATGAGGATTATGTTATCAATTACCATTATAAATGATAAGTGATAACGTACGAATACAAAACAACTGGATGATAACTTTTATCATTGTAATCACGGTTGTCTACTACGTGATTGTAATAAATACAATGGGACTAGATAGTTTCCCGCCTTTTTTAAGGTATTATCAAATATCATTGATTATATTATAAATTATTTGTTTTGATGAAGAGGATTGATAAATATATTATAATCTCTAACTAATTTAGTTTTATTTGTGGACTGTGGTGTTAACTAAGAAATATGATTTATTATAATTAAATATTTATTGTCTGTTCAAATCCTGTTTTTTTAGTTTTATCGGTTAGACGTATCATTAGTTTTAATGTTGATGAGTAGTAATTATTATTTTAAGAAAACAAATTTATAAATGCAATTTTTGAGTTTTTAGCGAAATTATTGAAAACATGGACCCTCTTTTTAAAACGCCGTCTAAAGAGTCAAGTTCACCAATATTTCATTCTAATTCGTGTTCACCATTTACTCCCAAAAAAAGTTTAGTCAAAAGAAAAGTTGGAGTGTCAAGGATATTGCAGTTTGATAGTTCAGATACTGCGTCAAACTCAAGTACTGACGTGAAACTGGAGTTCACAGATCTCAGCCAGACAAAAAGTACAACTCATACTAATAACAATGACTTAATGTGTGTTACTCCTGTGAAAGAATTATCAGAACAAAATAAAATATTGTTATCGCCAAGTATTAGAAATCGTCCTAATCGATTTAATTTAGATCAGGAAGTAAAAGAATCTGTTAAACCATCTCCTAGAAAAAGAAGTGGCCAAAACATATCCACACCATCAAAGCGAGTTAAGTTTAATCCGGAAAAAAACAGGAAGATCAAAGAATATTTTAAACCGGTTCAAAATGGTCCTGATTTGTTAATGAACAGTAGCCAAGAAGCATATAAGAATCCTAGTACATCTAGTTTGGCTCAAGTTTCTAACAAAAGCTCGAAAAGCTCTCTAGGTACTATAAGTGAATCCGTTAAAACAGTATTTGTATGTCAAGAGTCATATGTAATTTCTCAAAATGTGTCCGTTTCTAATGTTATGGATAAGACACAAAGTCAACAATGTAAAGAAAATTTAAATTTGAATAAAAAAATAATTAAAAGCCCAAAGACAAATATTTCTATAACACCATCTCCTAACAAAAAAACTGAACATTTGAATAATGTAATTGTTAATAATAACGAAATGACACCTACAAAAAGCATAGATAACAGTAGTACTATGAGTAGGAGTCCATCAATCCATGAACTATTGACTAAACCAGTAGTAATTTCTGGTGGTGATACATATAGTAGGTTTATGAAATTTCTATTGTATAGGCCCGAAGTATTTTTTTTGGTCGAAAGGAATTTGGAGAAAATCAAAGAATGTTCAGATGACGAACTTAAGCTATATGGACGACTATTGTTAAGAAAACATGGATGGATAAGGTTCAATAGTCTGGATGGTCTTATGAAATATAAAGATAAAAAAATATGTAGTAACTTTGACCAAGTTCTAAAATTGTTAGAAGAAAGGCAAATTATTAATACGGGTAATTGTTATTAAAAGTATAGCATATTAGTATATATACGCATTAGTTATATTATTATTTTATTAAATGTTTTTAATATATACAATTTTTTTCAGATCTTAAATCTTGTGAACTCAACGATTTGTTAAATATGTTAAAAGTTAATGAACTCAAAGAACTAAAAACAATTTTCAATATAACATTGAATTCCAATAATAATAAGCCTAATATAGTTAAAGCATTTATGGATTTTGTGAAAAATCAACGAACATTTTATGGAAATTCAATTGATAATCTAAAAAAAAGGTATGTGAACTATTGATAACTTTTGTGTATACAAAGTGGTTTTATTCATGATTATATTGATTCTAGAATTATAAACAAGTTAGGATATTGTCTGCGATTATCAGATGAGCCAAGAGAAGATGTAATGAGTTGTTTAATTTATGCATCATACCCCTATTTTATTGGAGAAGAAAAAGACAGACTGCAAGATTGTTTTTCAAAATTTTCAATGGTAGAAAAAGAAGAACTTAAATTTCCTAATTTTCATATGCAAAATGTCTCGATTAATTTTATTACTCGGGAAAACCTAGAGTCGTAAGTAATAATTGTTAATTTATGTTTGTGCATGATAAATAATATGAAATTATTTTTAGGTACAGAATAGCATTATATTATCGGCAACAAGTACATAGTCTAATTGAACAGAAAAATCAAGTCGAGGGCATTAAAGTGTTGATAACTGTGTATGAAAAATTAAAATGCGAGGTTGAAGATAAAAGTGTAATGTTAGTATAACATACAAAACATTATTTTATTTTGCTTACTTTTATTAGTAAGCTGTCTATTACAGCAAATCACTATTAAATGGTATTATTGATATTTGTAAAGTGAATTTTATTAGAAAATTAAATTGTTTTAATTTTGCATTCTTTATTCTAAATTTAATAGTATTTTATTATTTTTTCTGCAGACAAAAGTACATTCAAACATGACAAATTACTACTGTGATACATTTTAAGTTTGTAATTTTTATGTTGATTTATTTTTCAGGGAGTTATATACCAAATTACCTACGTACATGCGTAAATTTACAGCTGCGTCAGTTTATGCCTATACATTATTTAAAAATGTGACTCAGTTAAAAAAATCCACTATAAATACTGATTTAGCAAAAGATGTACTACAATATTTATTGGAGAAAAAAGAGTTTTTAATTTCAAAGCGTCCAGATTTATATGTTGAACTAGCTAAGCTCTATGAAAAGCAATACAAACAATTAGATCAAGTAAGCATATCTCATTTCACACAAACAGCTTATTAAAAAAATAAATTAATAAACCTTTTAAATTGTTTTACTAAAAATATTAATAGTTAAAGAAAAAAAAGACATGAACTAAATTTTTTTATATATATCTATAGTAAAAATAATATTAAAAAAAAAACCTTAATTTAATATTTACATAATAATGATTATTAGATGTACAGGGTCCGACAGAACAAACGCATGGTTTTTAAAATGATGCTACTCCAAAAGTAATTTCAGTAATAACAAATTTATTATATCAAAAAATGCAGAAACATATGCAGTTTTTTTATACGTAACAAAATTTAGGTTCTGAAAATAATGTCAGTCATATGGTGCCATTGAGCCCCGCAATGCAGGAAACCAGGCCCTCGCGAAACGATCTAATAATTATCATTATGTAAATATTAAATTAAGGTTTTTTTTTTAATACTATTTTTACTATACATATATATAAAAAAAATTAGTTATTAAAATGTTTACGTATTTTATTTTTAAAAATTATCACATATTTTAACTACCCTTGGAAATAATATATTCAAGAATTACAAATTTATATATATATATTTTTTTGTGATTTATCAGGCTGCCATAGTAATAATCAAAGGGCTCGAAGATGAAATCATTGGCGAGTTTGGTCGTCAAATTTTGTCTACAAAAGTAGCTATGTATGCTAAGCGTAAGACTGGACTTAGCCAACAAGCCAAAACCCAATTGCAAAATGTAACAAAAATTGAAGACAAAAAACTACCAGAAATAACAATTAACGGAAAAATTATTTCAAATAATGAAAGGTAACCGCACTCAATTAGGTACTTAATTGAATCAAATTAGTCATGTCCAGATTTATGACGGGGTCTAAACTAATCACAATCATCCATTAACGTTTTATCGAAACAATAGTTTTTTTCTACCCAGCATAAGTTTTATTATTTAAAATTATTAATACTTAACAATAATGTTTAGTAATGAAATAATTTCTTTAGTTTTTATTTATTTAAAACAATTTAGTTAATACGGATAAAATATAAGTACAGTTAAATTACATTAATTGGAAGGGATGCATCCTCAAGGCCTTTCAATCAGTATTATATAGGTATACAATAAATTGGGTACTTAATTTAATTTTTTTATTTCAGTTTTAGTCTACATACTATTGATAATTTAATATATATTAAGACTAGTTCGATTGTAAGCAAAATTTGCATGTTATTCATTTTTTTTATCATATTTAGTTTAAAAAAAGTTTAAAGCTGGTACATTTAGGTGTAGAAATTGGACTGTTCCATTTATAAATTGGACAGAGAAGTCTATTCTTGTTGAATTGCCCAAAACATTTTAAATCCAAGCTTTGAATTAAGACTCATTAAAATACTTATTTTCAGGCAACTACCAACCAACATAAACTGGACTAAATAATGTTTTGATTTTTTTTCAGCGGCGTTACAGGACACAAGCAAGTTTATGCCAAAAAAGTCAAAGATGGAACTTTATACATGTCTGTTGAAGAACTTGCGTTATCTCATTATAAAAGTCTAGGGTATACTCAAGGTATTATTAGTATAATTTTTTTTTCAAATTAAGTAATTAAAAATCAAAACTCCTAATTAATGGCAATGCTAATTCTAGATAACAGTTATTAATCGGGCTGGAGATGTTAATAAAATTCATTAGCTCTGGCTGACTGCTAAAAATAAAAATTTTTAATTATGGATATTTTTTTAGGAATCCATGACGAAGGTCAATTAGTCAAGTCAATGTTCTTTTTATGTTTTTGGGATATAATTTACGGATGTTATCCTCCTCACATTATTTTTATCAGTAAATTTCAAGACTGTCCTTTAGATTGGCGAACACGGCATTTTTATACAATAAGAGAAAAAGCGATTAAAGTAAAATATTATTATTAGCTTAGTTGATTTCTACTCATATTTACGTTGTACTCTTTATTAAGGATTTGACAGCCAAATTAAAAGCAATGAGTGTTGATGAAATATATGAAATGCTTAAAGAACTATGTGAAAAATATTTTAATGTTCAGTCAGTAGTCAACTGGAAAATAATGTGTAAAGAAACTTTACCTAAATGTAAAGTAAGTTTGAAAAAAATATTTTTAATAAAGTAAATTCATGCATAATATACTACTGTTTTTGTTTAGGAATTATTAAGTTGCATGGGAATTGATTTATTCTTATCGGTTGGAATTCATATACTAGCTCATGGCCGAATTTATATGCACGGCATGCCAGATCTTATTACTTGGGATCCTTATCGCAAAAAGGTAATACTATAAAATACTATAATTTAATAAAATAAAATGATTGCTGGTCATTAATTATTGTTTAATCATATCATTTTTGAAATTAGTGCATGTTCGTTGAAGTAAAAGGACCTAAGGATAAGTTATCTGAAAGACAACATTCATGGTTACTTAAACTAATTGAATTTGGTGCAAATGTAGAAGTCTGTCATGTTGTCGGTTAGTTAAATAATATTTATGTTATTATGGTTGTAGAATTTCCAAATGATATTTATTACTAAATAAAATAATAAAATATTGGTGAGGTTATCGGAATGTAGTAGTTCTTCTACCCAACCCCTATCAGTACTTGTTCTATGTTTTACCACAGAATAGATTAATCTATTCAGTGATTTTAGATCTAAATAAAATGTCAATGTTTAAGTTGATTTATCTTGCTTACAGGAACTGGAGGCAAAAATACTACCACTGATACTACCAGTGAAGCTGACTGATGTTACCATTAAAATAATTTTGTGCTTATATTTTATGTGCTGTTAACTCAATGTAAAGTTATACAAACGTAAAAGTACAAAGTGTTTTTTTTTTAGATAATACTTTTAAAATGGAAATTTTATATTATATATTAAGTTAACCTTCATTGACTGTGCCAAAGTTTAATTATATGTTGAAAAATATAATTATTTTTCTAATGATACCTATTTATTCTGTATTAATATATTGTTAAATAGAATACAATATAATAGCTAATATGTGATAATATCAATGTTATTTTTTACTTGTTAGTTTCTTATTTTAATTTTAACTTTCACTGCAAACTAAATTTTTATAATGTTTGGTCATATAATATTATGTATATCATGTTATTTCTGATTTATTTTTTAATATAAACTATGATTTTACTTACTACTATAGGAATATATAGATAAATACCTATGTTTACTATTTGTTTTTAAATTTAACATAGCATTTCAAAATTGTATTTCTTTTAAGTTCCGTTTTTGTAAGAGGTTACCGTTAAATTTGTAAATCATTGTTGAACAGAGATGTGATTTTTTTTCTGCTTCAATGAAGAAGCCATGGTCTCCTGGATATATATATATATATATATATATATTATTTTTTTAAATCTCGTCATAGGAGTAATATTAAAATATGTATCCTTACCAAAAAAAAAAGAAAAATTTTTAGTTGTAATATATAGACATCACCTGTCTCCAATGCTAACTGAGAAATTCAAAATAATTAAGAAGGTTCAATGATATTAATATTTACTACCAAGTAGGTGTAAAATTAAGTTCTACTTCAGTACATAATATGATTATACTATTGTAGGTATTTACTTATAAATAATATAGAAATTCAATATTAATGATTTTGAGATTATGGAGTAATAATTATGGGGGTTCCGAATCAAATATCGAGTGATTATTCATATGATAATCGTTTCATTTTTAAAAAAATAATAAACACCATAATCCATAGGTCAATTCGACAATCACTATATAACTATATAATATGTAGAGTAAACTCCAAAGATCAAACAAACAAATGTTATAGGCGCAACTATAGATATCTGCTATTAGGTATATACAACTAATCGTGTAATGTTGCATTTTAATTATTATAGTATAGTAGGTATTATAAATAAGTGTGAAAATCAATGTGATAATATAATTATCGTGTTGTTAAATACAATAGGTATAAAGTTCATTAAACGGTCACTGACTAAAATATAGTCGTCATTATCGAGTGGTACATATTATTCTGGCCTCTGTCAAATACAGTTGCTGTCAATTTATAGTTATAATTTTATTACTATTGTTGTTAATACGGATTTTTTTTTTTGTTGGGACGGTATTGGCTTTGTCAGAAAAAAAATGAACTATGAAACATTGAAATCAAAGGTAATAGATATCATTAAATAACAGTGAACGAAAAAATAAAACTTTATACGTATTAATTCTAAAATAATATTATTTTTAGTTCGAAAAGGACGGATATGTGGTAATAAACAATTTCTTCGATGAAAACGATGTGGAAAAACTCAAAAACGCTGGTTTGAAGCTCACACAAAATGTTCCAAATGAGGCAAAAACGGTGTTTAAGACCAGCCAGAATAATCAGGTAAACCATTTTCTAAAACGATATTCAAAGCCCCATATAAATCCAAAATAGGTATCCATACTAAAACAGCGAATAAATGTTTTCACATTACCAATTTTTAAAATATAATACAATTTACAAATAGTTTTTGCACAGACATTCTATTTTAAATTAAATAAAAAAACGTCTTTAAATATAATAAATATATAATTCTTATAAAAGACATTTTATCCATGTTTTCAATTGTAAAGAGGTAGTAAATATAAAATTATTATACACATAATAAGTATAGTATAGACACCCAAAAAAAATGATGTACATTATTAAAATACAAATTTTCCTATTTCTTTCTTTTGACATAGGTACCAAAAAATGTAAAATGTATTTTTTATTGTATCTATAATTTTTTCCAAAACATTCGGGGGTCAAGTATAAAATATAAAAAGAGGGTTAACAATATAGACAGACACAAATTATTTAGTACACTATAAATAATACTATTTTGTTTAAACCAAAAAATATAAATTTTGGCCAAAAGGCATGCCAAGCCTGAATCGGTGTATATAACACAAGTTATAAATCATATTAGTGTACTGAAAAAAAAAAATGAATCCAAGTTATAATATTTATCATTGCAAACTTTATGTTTTAGGAAATAAGTAGTTATTTCATGGAGAGTTGCGATAAAATAGGATATTTTTATGAAAAAGATGCTTTGGACGAAAACGGCGATCTGTTGGTAGATCAATCAATTGCATTGAACAAAGTCGGCCATGCATTACACAGACTAGAGCCCACATTTGAAGCATATACTTATAATGATAAAGTTTCAAACATATGCCGAGCTCTAGGATTGATCAGACCGACGGTGGTTCAGAGTATGTACATCTATAAAAATCCAGGAATCGGCGGTGAAGGTGAGTAAGGTTATAAAAAAAAAAACAATTTTCTTAAATAACCAGTTTGATTTATAAGTGGTTGCACACCAAGACTCGACGTTTCTCCACACAGAACCAGATTCATTGGTAGGATTTTGGATTGCATTGGACGATTCTACAATAGAAAACGGCTGTCTTTGGGTCATACCAGGTACTCACAAGAACGATGTACACCAAAAGTTGGTGTGCGATCCTAAAAACAAATCAAGAAATCAAACGATATTTCAAGGAACTTTTCCAGATTATGAGCAATCTGCATTTGTTCCAGTACCCGTGAAGAAATGTAAAGTTGCAATTTAACGATGTTGACATATACGTATAACTGTACCGTTTATTTGTAATTTTTGTTCACAGCTGGTCTTGTAATCATCCACGGTAGAATTATACACAAAAGCGATCACAACAAATCACAGCTTTCTAGACATGCATACACATTTCATGTTTACGATGAAGCGTCGAGTCAATACTCTGACAAGAATTGGTTACAAACAAAGATAGGATTTAAATCTCTATACTTATAATTTATTTTAACATTTTTACATTTTATGTCTAAAAATATTTTTAAAAAAATGGAAACTTCTTGTCACTAATATGATTACCTTAATATAAAGTATAAAACTTATTCATTAATACAAACAATAACATAAAACGGTTAATCAATTTGTAAAAAAATTGTTTTGAAATAAACATAACAATATAAAATTTGCCACTAAGACACACCAAGGTAGTAATGTTAAAACTATGAACTTTTAACAATTTTAAATTTATGGTAAACATGTTTTAATAGTTAAACAAAAACTAAAATGACCGAGTCTTTCACTTATTGTTAACATTAATATATGTATACAACCTAGTTTTAATTTAGTAATAATAGGAACGGTCTTGTTCTCTCAGTCTTTAAAAATAATTTATTTTGAATTTTTTGTAGTACTCATATTCTTTTTGATATCAGTAATGTTTTGAATGGCAGATAAATGGTTTTGTAATGATACAAGTACATATAAAAATGAATTTCTGTAATACACAATAACCAAATTAATTAACCGATGATTATACATAATAAACATATTACATATATATGGGTATCCTTTATTTTGGACTTTTTAAAAATGTTATGCTGCCAAGGTCTCAAACTGCTCTAGTGAGTGGAAAAAAGAAAAAAGGTCTCATCCAAACATTTGCTCTTCAAAACTGCAGCACCCTTGATTAATCCAGTATTCGATGGCATTGTGTCAAAGCTCTAAGCTTTAGGTACTTACCTAAAAATACTGCTTGGTATCAACCATAAGTTACCAAACAATTATTGTTTTTTTCAAACTAGTTATTATTTTTATTATAGAAAGAGTTTATTCATTATTGTTACATTTTATTTATATGATCAATTACTGTATCTGCATGAAAATGATAATCCTACCTATTTATCCCTTAAAAAAAAATTATTTCAAAAAATCCTAAAATTTTGACTGTGCGCATGTGCAAAATGGCGAACTAACTAATTTTTTAATTTTTATTTTAAAGTATGTGTCATACACAAGCGACTCACATTGGTCCCATATTTTTAAGATTTTTTTTAATATCTTTCAAAAATGTTGAAAAAAAAGTTTCAATAATTCCGTGTTATTTAAATGGGAAACTTCACCGTCTTACAGGCACGAGTAAATATTTAGCTAACTCAAAGCTGACTAAAGCAGTAAAATTTTCAGGGCTTTTTTTTCACACACTACACACTACATTCAACTAGAGTAATTTGAGATCTTGAGAGCATAACATTACGCAAAAGTCCAAAATAAGGGATACCCTTTTATATACTCACTTTTCTTTCATTAAACAATAGTCAGCCACAGACTTTTTACTAATCTTTGCAAAATATTTATTAAATCCAATAATTGATTTAAGGAACTCGTTAACAATTGTATCCTGGTTATCCAACAGGGTTTCGGAATCCAGTTTGTTAATCCTAAAGACAATTTTTTTTGTATTAATGAAAATAATGCTTATACGTACAATAAGACTTATATATTTCACTTACTTTAACATGATGTCAACAATAGTTGTTACTTTGGAGTAAAATTCATCGATTTGTGTATTCAATTCCGATTTTAGAGGTAATAATTTGCATTGTTTCTCTTCTAATAAATTAGATGGATTAGCCAATCCATTGACTTTGTAAACGTAATAACTAAAAAAAATTCACTATTAATCTATATCATGTAGATTAACGGGCCTTGAAGGTCCAACACTGCTATCATAAAATGGTTTATAGACAGACTGTCTATCCAGGACAGGTTGTCAGTCCATCGTCAAAGAGGTGGATGGCGGCTTCTTTTTACCAGACGATTTCTTGCTTGGTAAATGGAGCGCTTGTGACCGAGTGTCAAACTGGCGATAGTGAGCGCCAAACACACTGACGCGTAACCTATTCGGCCACTTGTCTTCCCCTTTTAACTGTTAATCTACATGACAAAAGTAATTCAAGAACAATATTTTTACCAAAACTTGTCAACTCCCAATAAGATATTATTTAAAATGTATTCAACATTAATTTTTTCTTTGGATAACTCCAGCTTGGACATATTGAATGATACAGATTCTACTGATGCTGTAGAAGTATTTAATTTATGTTTAAAAATTTTCCTGGCTATCTGTAATTAATAAAGTTACAACCATATAATATACTACTATAATTTCACACATTAATACACACACATAGTAAATTAATTTATTGGCCGTTAATAACAAATTAATATAAACACTAATATAGTTAGTTTATAATAGACTATAGTTTTTAGAATGAATAAAAGTAACTATTTCAGCAGTACTAGGATATATAATATATATCCTAGTATAAATACTATAGTAATATACTGCCCTGCTAAGCAGTAGTATATATATATAAAGACAAAATGTTATTTTTTTTTAAATTTAGGCGTATTAATAATAATAATATTAAAATTATACTTAAGTCTAGACTTACCATCAAATCATTTAAAAGTATGTCAGTAATTTCAAAATACTCGTAAGGCAAAGCATTTATCACATCAGTGCAGTGTTTTAGCATACAGTAAAAATCATTCCAACTAATTTCAATAATAGCTAATACACAAAAAAGTAAATTTAACAAACAATTTAAACAACTTACCATGCATTATATTAATGTAAATAAATATTCGACTTACATGATGGTGTGTCTTTAAAAAAGTTTGCTAACCACTTCAATTGATTTTTAGGAGTGTAAAACAACTGTTGAGGTGCAACTATATGCCAGTTTTCTTTCATTTTTATCAACATTTGATTTAAATTAATTGGTAGACTCATTGAAAAAATTTTCCACCAATTGGTAGACATTTTTGGATTATTGGATTGAATAGTATATTTAATTGAAGCTCGTTTTAAAATCTGTTAAAAATATTTGTGGTAAATTAGGTTTAGAACTATGTAGTTATTAAATAAAATATTAACACTTCAACTCCTAACATTCTAAATGTAAAACTACATATACAAATAACGAAAGTATCTATGTTGTCTTAGAAAAAAATATGAATATAGGTTATATGATAAAATAAATTCTATTGGCTCGATTAGTAAGTATACTAATTATTGCAGTCAACGAGTTAAAACTGTGCTTTTCACTACAAAACTATTTTACTTTTTTTTTTTATATTCTATATGTATTTTGCTTATATTATTTCTAGGTTTTCTAAGTTTTAATATAAAATATTTAAAACTTAGTAAATTTGAAAAAAACATACTTGAATATACTATAATTAATATTTATTATTTTTATTTAAATTATCATATTGACTTTGAATCAAAACTTACTCTAGCAAATGTGTACTCTAAACGTGGTTCAAAATTCATAAAAACGTTTTTTTCAATATCAGGATACATTTGAGCAGCAGCTAAATAGTAAAATCATTAAAATATACAATTAAGACAAAAGTAAAAAAATCAATGTTACTTGTAACTTTATACAAATCGTGTCGATTAGTGAAGGCGTGAAATTTATTTTGTTTACAAGATAAACAATATTTCTAACTTAATTATCAATATTGACAATTATTATTATCCACCAATGATGTCGATCCAATAATACACCTATGGTGTGTAAATATTATTATAGTGTCAGTTCATTGGTTTAACGGATTTATAAATAGTTCATAGTGATAATTATCCTGAATAAGAATTTATAATAAGTAAGCTTAATTCTCATACGTTTCAACTCCTATTTTATTTTAATAAGAATATTATAAAGAACTTATTTTACAGAGTCCTTCTCCATAACCAATCTTTATTTTTTAAGGCAGTACTTTGCATACTGCCAAATGACATTTTAAAATGCTCATTTTTAGTGAATTTAGTAATTATATTTTAAAAATAATTACTGCTATCAAAAATGTATTTAAACATTAAAAATAAAATTAAAAAAAAATAATTTTTTTATTTATAACATTTAAACAAGACTTAACAACAATTTACTGTAAAATCAATAAATTTATACTTGTTTCTTATGGTACTATTTATTAAAGCACAATGATAAGAATTGTTAATGGAACAAATATAAAAACAAAAAGAACACATTGTTGAATCTATGATAGTCTATGAATAGTTAATTAATTCCGACTAGGAATGAAAAAATTACTTTTTATATACATTTTTTTTATTAGTTTAACATTAATAAAATATAAATATCGGTCAATTAATATAAAATAAAAAACAAAACCAGCAGAGTGGAGATTAGGAAAATAGGTTGAGGGAGATCACAGATTTCAAGGAAAATGTAATAACGGAAAAAGATAAAACAATTTTCCAACAAACGCTTTATCAATGTGAAATTATAGATGGTAAAAACTGTTAAACATAAACAAGGGGCTCCTACGCTAAAGATATTTCATCATTTTTATCAATATTGTGTCATAATATGTTCGTCTATTTTTATTGTAAATAAGGAGAGAAAATGAATGAAACCATTATACTTTAATTAGTCAAAACGCACTATTTCTTTTTATATAAGTATCAAAAAGATGTACCATATTTTAAAGTTGGACAACTTAACATTTTTAAGAAGGGTATTTTTTGTACTAGTAAATTTTTTTAACGCTTAATCATGTACATTTTGTTTATGATTTATAGTAATATTTATAGTGATTTAAAAGCAGACACCAACTAAATATTTGAGTGACAAGTTACATCTTGCACATGCAGAAGTATTCACATTTAAGAATGCAAGCAATTAAATATAGTTTTAAATATATATTTATGTATTTCAATATAGTATTGTACGATACATTTTTGAATAAGTAATAAACAAAAAGTTAGTATGAAAATAGTTTTTACTACTCGGGATGAATTGACCTAGAACCATGATAAATGTATGTATGCATTTTCTTATGTATTTGACTATTAGCTTAGAAACATTAGAAGAATTGAAAAATATCTTATTAAAGAAAAACAATGTTAAAAAATAAAGTTTTTGATACACACACGTAATACATATTAGTCATTTACAACTTAAGTAATTATAACGATTAAAAATAATATTTTGTATTAAGTTTAAATTTAGTTGTTTATATACATAATAATAAATAATACTACTATTAATAACAATAACAACTTGTATCACATAAAAATCTTATTTTATAAATATAATATTAGAAATTACACAGTCTTTTAAAAAACGATTTGCACGAATAATCATTTTGTCTGGTGTACAATGGTTTCAATTGAAATGAAAACAATTTCTTTGACAACAATTATATAAATTAATGCTATAGCAATAGCAATAAAATAATAAAATAACATTTACTTCTATACATTTTTAATTATAATATAATAAAATAAATATTTATATATGTATAGAAATACATTTTAAATAATAATTAGTAAATTTATAATAAAATATACAATTTGAATTGTCTAAAACACAAGTTAAGACTTAAGATACCTAGCAAATTACTTAAACATACCATGTAATGTGGATTTTCTTGAACTTGGAATTGATGAAGTCATATCAGTTATCAAATAACCTCCCTGAAAAAAATTTGCATGAATTTTTTTATAAAATATCTGTTTAACTTGTGTTATTTTACAATATTTTAACTTTCAAAAATTCAATTGGAATTTGCTTAAAGAACAATTGTATTATATGAATAATAATATTAAGTTAAACTAGAAAATTTTCAGTGCTAAAAAACTATGTAAGACTTCATAAAAAAAAAGAGGGACGAGAAAGTGATAACCAGCTAATAACAAATATAATTTGATTTTAAGATGATTTCATTCTTGTTTTATGTAAGGGGAGGGAAGCGCAACAGTCTTCCTGCTCAATTTAATCTAACATTACCTCCATATATTTATTTATAAATTATTATTACAGCCTCAACTAAACTGTAGTTGGTCACAAAATGATTATGAAACTAAATTATAATTTATACTGCTTATTCAGTATAAATTATGAAACATTAAGCAACATTTTATTTACCGACATTCCGATGCATTAACATTAAATAAATTAAGCAAGCAGGAAAACGTCGGATTTTTGTTCCAAGTTGAGCTTTTAACAATACTGGATTATAGTTAAGATTTTTAAATACCATATACAAGCGAAAATACATAAAAGAAAGATTATATAAACTAAAATAATAATTTATTAGGTATATGTAATATTTATGCATAGTGTATGTATCGTATAGTTTTATAAATGCAAAATTAAATGTATTTTTTCAATTCTTCCATTATTTAATGAGTAATCATACAAATTCATATTAACTAAACAAAAATAGGTAAATGTATTTTTTTAATATTTTTGTGTCTGTACCCATGATATCTTAAATAAAAAATGATTTAGAATGAATTTATTTGAATATATTTTATTTAAATTTGATCAAATAAAAATATACTTAAATTCGTTATTTTAATGTTATTTAAAATAATGTTTAAACGTTAATAAAGTTTTAAAAGAAAAAAAATCCAGTGGAAGATATTTACTTAAGCATAAAATAATTTATAATATGAATGTTTTTTTTAACCACACGTTTGTATAAAATGTAAAATATCTCCATACAGAAATCTGGTTAAGATATTTCTATTCCAAAAATATATATTATTTTTTCGTTACAGCCAAGTTTATACTTGATAATATGTAAAAGCAAAAAATCAAACATTTTACTCACTCCGAAAAACATTTGCATCATTAGGGTTTTTCTCTTTAATAATTTCTAAGAGCCATAGGGAATTCCTTACTGGTATGCCACTAACTTCTGATTTTACACTTAATATTTTGTCATCAGTTACCAACATCTGTAAATTATTATAATATAATATTATGTATTAGTTTTACAAGCAAATTAAAAATCAAAACAAATACAGAAATGGGGCGAGTCATCAGATAATGAGTATAAACAGAAACAAAAAGAAATTGCATATTAGACCTGAATATACTTATTTTTTAGACTTACAAATATAACTCTTCAGTTCTTCAAATTACCAGTTAAAAAAGAACAAAAGTAGCAAAGGATAAAACATGTTTTTCTAGTTGTGTTCCTGTTTACATTCAATTGGAGATTCACCTCATTTTACAGTTTTTAATTAATAAAGCTCAGTCCTAGTTACATACAAAAATTATACATAATCAATTGGGACCATAATAATCTAAATAAAATAATAGTAATAATGAAATAATGACTTACAACAGTGTTTACTCTGCCTTTAATAATAAGAGCACATTTTAAAATAGCATCATCAGGAGTCATATTATCTTTTTGAGTCATTGGCTGTCCTTTCAGTTGCGGGTGATTTTTTGAAAGCATTTCTAACAGCCATCGTGTAGCTTCCCGTGCTCTATATCCCAGAGCATCTTCACTTTTTTTCATTTGATCAAGTTCATGCAGTACTTGCCAAGGTAAAACTATTGTCATATATCCAAATTCTTGCATGAAACAAAAATAATAGGCTATAATATAAATTATAAATTATGAGATTTGAATGTTATTAAATTCTACATGAGAAAAAAATAAAAATAAATAAATGCAACCGTTTAGAAAATGTATGGTACAAAGACAAAATAAAGATACTTTATGTAAACTAAAAAAAAAAAAAGATTATTACCATAAAAGTATTTATCAACAATAGCCATACATGCTTTTAAATTCGATAAAAGAATATTAGTATCTATTACTAAACAGCAGTTTATTTTATCACTATGCATAATGGTATCCGGAGTACATTCCATCGGTTCATATTTATGAGTAGTTCGCCTCAAGTCATTAACCTTAAACATTAAATTTTGTTGACATTAAATTTGTATACTATATTTTAGCTAAATTTACATACCGATTCAATAATATTATCAGTTTCTATATCTTCCCAATCCATTTCATCGTCCGACTTAACGTAATTTAATTGGGAGTGGTTCTCTTGGGTTGTAACACTCAACGAACCTATTCTCGGATTTAAACCTTTTTTTATATTTTCTAATCGTTGTTGAGCAGAATACTGTTCAGGCACAACAAAACTAAAATTATTTATTCGACTTTGAGGTAATCTGGTTGTTGATTCTTTGGGCTTCTCTATCATCTGTGTTACTGCTTCTAAATTAAAAAAACACATTAACTTATACTTTTCTTATATTTATAAACATTTAATAAATTTAACCGTCAACAAGTTACAAAAAATGAATAAATAAATAAACAATAACTGCTTTACAAATTTCAATAGCCGATATGAATTATTTTATTCTTACCCCTTTGCTCTGCTTTTGTTTGAGAAAACGAAATTGATTTTTCTTTAATGGTGATCAACTGTTTATTAATAATATTTTTGATGTTAGGTTTATTTGAAACAGCAATTTTTTTAACAGTTGAAACAACAGTGTTTGATTTTGTTTGACAATTGATTGCACTTTGAGAATTAGTGCAAAGCCGCTTAACTTTGGTTCTATCATTATGTGGACTCACTTTATGTTTATTTTGCCCTAAAAAATACAAATTAATTAATTTTTTATGAATTGACAAATTCATCATAATCAACATATAACAGCTTAACCTAACTGATAGTTTTTTTTTTATGGTGATTATTTAATTAAGAGCCAGGACAGTGGAATTAGTATGATAACTGAAAGGTATAAGTGATTATTGATTATATATAAAAACAAGGGGTATTTGGAAAGCTAACTCCTGTTTATTTTTAAAAATTGAGTTTTTAATTTTTTTCTGTACAAAATGTATAGGATTTGTTATAAATATATACATCTATTATCCAATGTAGTCACCGGATTGTTCATTACATTTTAATATGGCTGGATCAGTTTTTGTTTACCCTCTTTCAAGGTCTCTTCCCATCTTCTTTGCTCAACTTTAATAAGCTTCTTTGATCTCTTCATTGGTTGTGAAATGTTTTCCAGCTAAAGCATTTTTCAATTTGAAGATAGGTGAAATCGACTTGGTTCGAAGATAGGACTGTATGGTAGATGTTTCAAAAATAGTTGTATATATTTACAATAAATCCAATGAATTTTGTAAAAAAACCTAGATTTTTTTTTTAAATAAACAGGTGTTGCTTCTTGAACAGCCTCAGTAAATTGTGTTGTTAATTTGTTAACTTTTCTAATACAATTATTTGATACATTATACCTGTAGAAAGCGAAAAAAAAAAACTAAGAACTTTTAACATTAGCAAAAATTACTGTAGACTGTAGTATTTATTTAATTTATAACAATACATTTTGTTTTCTAGAAAAAAAATAATATATATATAATGTAATATTGTCATAGAACAGCATCAAAGTTAACAAAATTAAAATGGTAACTATATTGGTTTAATGGGGGCTTATATTTTGAAATATTGGACATGTCTAGATGGTAGTATGTTAGAATGTTCAATAAAGAGATATGTAGGATATGGAGATTAAAAACTATTGTTATTTAACGGATATATTATATTCAAACCTTACATTTTTGTAATAAAATAAAATAAAAACTTACGGTCAGCCAGAGAAGCCGAGTGATTTTTATTAATAGATTGCGAAACATTAGGTTTATTAAGTAATTTAGTTTTGGTTGCATTTTGGTGAGCAGACTTAGCATGTACTTCGTTTCTTGCTCTAATAAGTCGATTTTGTACAGATGAGTCTAAATAAGAAAATATAAATAACACGTTAGTATGTAGTTATATAAATATTCATATTCAAATATATTACAATTATGTGTGGTTGTATCAAATGGAGAAAAGTTTCAGGTGTTTTATGTGACAAGAGAATTACAATGAGACTTAAAGGCAATTTCTACTAGAATGTGATGAGACCAATTTTGTTATATGGTTCTAAGTGTTGGGTGGTAAAAAGATAAATAGAACAGAGATGAGTGTAGCGGAAATAAGAATGCTTAGGTGGATAAGTGGAGTGACGAGTGAAGATAGGAACGAATCCATAAGAGGTAGCATAGGTGTGGCTTCAATAGCAGACAAAATGAAAGAGAAAACAAACTAAGATGGAAAGAGGAAGACTGCAAAAGAGGTGGTTGGATGCAATGAGAATGATATGAGGACAACAGGTATTATATAAACATATTGAAAGCTTACTTGTTGCAGCAGGAACTTCTTCAAAACGATTACAATGTTCATTTGTAACGGAAGATGATGATTTTTGAGCACATGTCTTTTTATTGCTTAGGACTTTAATGGACAAATTATTTACACCAGACTGTATGGAAATAACATTTTTTATAAGTGGTTTTATTTGTTTCATTGAAGGATTAGAAAAAGGTGAGCACGTTGAAGAGGAAATTTCGTTATCATATTCAGAAGAAAAAATATTGGACAACTTTTTGGATTTAATTGCTTCTAATCGTCGTTGCATTAATCCACTAGCTTTAGGTGCTATTTTTGAATTTGACACATTAAGTTTATTTTGTAAATTTCCACTGATTGGTAACAATTCAGAATTATTTGGTTTTGTTAATTGAGAGTGTTGCCTGATTTTTTTTTTGGTTTCTAATGTTTCATTGGATTTTATATGAGTCTTATTTGAAGAACTAAAATTTATTTTATTGGATTTTTCAATATTGAACCCATGAATATTGTTTTTCATATGTAATCTATCATTGATATTTTGTTTTTGTGATCGTTTTCCTTTTATTGCTGCCGCTTTAGCAGCTTGTATTCGTTCATCCAAAGTGTTTCCCAAAGTATTATCTCCAAACTGAATTGAATAGCTGGAGCTAATATTTCGAGAAAATTCCATAGATGTTTTATTCTTACTTTTGTCCATGTTAAATACCTAAAATAAGAAATACTTCATTTTAACTAGGTATAAATAAATATTAAGAGGTGAGAGTTACCTATACTGAGCTGATGTAACTGTAGCTCAGTTAAAAATTAAAATCAAACAAACTCGGAACCGTATTATTTATTATTTCTTACATAACAAAACGACGGCCTCCGGGTAAAAGGGGTTAAGTTCAAAATTTGTTAAGAATTCAAATTTGAATATTACAGTGCAAAACTCCATTTTCAACAAAAATAGACTTAACCCCTTTTACCTGGAAGCCGTTGGTTCCAGCAAATTCTTTATTCAATTTTTTTCTTCAAAGTTTTTGTATAACAATTAGTAATTTTAGGAAACACGATGTCATTTTGGAATGATATTCAAAATTAAATTTCTATGCAACGTAATAGTTTAACTAGTACATTATTTTTTGGGTTTTAAACCATACATTTGTGATAGTTTTAGTAATTTTACAACAAATTAGTGAGTATGGAAATCGTATAGTTATTTTTTTTTTTTTTCAAAAAAAATTATTAAAATTGGATCACTATACGAGACCTTGTTTCCATGAAGTCATTTTTGTCCACTAAAATGGCTCTAACTTTAAAAATAAATTATATATTCAAAATCAAACCTAAAGCCAATTTAATAAACAAACAAATCTTATCAGAATTGGAATACTGCCAATAATTTGCAACTTTGTTATTTTGTCACTTAAAATGAAATGACTACAAATTTTCTTAACACTAATAAACCAAACTATAACGCTTTCAGGACAACCAACACATACATACACATATATATATGTGAGATGCCAAATAGATATATAAATCAACCATCCTGAAAGGTTTAAAGAATTATTTTAGATTTGCGCCAAACTAATAAGATAAAATCATTTTGAATCTAACTTGGATTACAAAAAACTAAACAAATTTTATAGATACAATAAAATTACTAATTTTTTCTGATCAATTGTTGTACAAAACTTTGCAAGAAAAAAATTGAATAAAGAATTAGCTAGAATAAGTTATGTAAGAAATAATAAATGAGATGGTTCCAACTGAGCACGGTTTTAACTGAGCTATAGTTACATCAGCAAAGTATAGGTAAGTATCACATCTCAATATTTTTTTTTTAATCATATTAGGTTATTATTGTAGTTATAATTTTCCAAACACAAAATTGAGCACTTGTATAAAAAAATGATTTCTCTGTTACTGGATCCTAATACAGTCTATAGTTCTCGCCGGTACCATAAGTTGGTTGAGGAGATGGTACTCACTTATAATAAGTTATTTAATTCTTTATAACATTTTTGATCATCTAAAACCACCGAAACAGAAAACGATAGAACAAATGGAACAAATTATTGGGAAAAAAATCTTAGATTTGTTTAGTTCAGTTAACTATTACAATTGTATAAAATTATCTAGTTAAATGATAAATATACAGAAAAAGCTTTTAAACGGATGTTTTATTTTATAATTATTACCATTTAAGTTCGATCATGCATTCAAAATTGAGAATTTCATAAAAACGTTAGTACAAAAGTGTGTAAATTACTGTCATCAAAACTAATTGATCAAATTATAATCGAACGTAGGTTCGTTGTAAATTATAAAATATGAACCTATATAACTTACATGTTATAACCTCTTAATCGTGGAAAAAAAAACGTTTCGTAAGACTGCATAGAACATCATAATATTATTTTCATTACAAATATTTGTACACTATTGAATCTTAGCTGATTTCTGATAACATTCCCGCATTAATAACACAAGTGAAAACAAAAATGTAGAACTTTTAAAAAAAAGTTGTAATAATAGAAATTGTTTTCTTTTTGTAAAAATATAATAACAGCCAATATAATATTATAACGATATAGATATAGTGATTTATATTATGTCACGCACATTTCGTTGGTATTACCAAGGTCCCCGTCCGAGTATCTACATTCGACATTATGATCCTCATGATAAAAATGCGTTTCAACCACAATACAGAGAAGATAAGGTGACGTCACTCCAACCAAATCAGTGGGTCAAGAAATTACGGCATTTTGGTAGTAAAATTTTGTCACGTAGATAGCGCCACCATTCGCCCGGAGGCCGACTTTTACATGGAATAGGGTTTTTTACATAATATTATACGTTACTGTCATTTTTATTGGTAAATAAAAAAATATATTACATGTAATTTAATTTTAATATAGGACTATAGATTATATATTATTTTAAAATCAACAATATTCGTATATATAGTCTAATTAAATGTATTATTTATTCTAATTCCTATTCCACAAAAGACGTTTTTGGTCGAACGATGACTATCCGTATATTACAATATATACAATATTATAATTCGCTTTACGTATTATGTACAAGAAAAAAATTGTCCTCAACCAGTACCCCTCCCCCCTCATATATCGAATTTTAAGCACCAGAGAAGTTTTTCCAAATTGAGTTTATAGTTATTGAAGATCTAAAGAATAATTGCACGAACATTCCTTAAAAAAAATGCAGTTCCCTAAAAACCACAAGTGAAACTAGACATTTTTACAAGATAGAGCTTAACTAAAGGTAACTAAAGGGGCTTATAAAGTAGGGTATATAAAACGGGGATCGGAGAGTTATTTAGGATAAAATTATATTAATACCTCTGACTTAATAAACGGAGCCTTATCCATTTGAGTAAAAACACTTAAGCACGCTTTTACATAACCAGTGGCGTACATTCAATCTTGCTCTGAGGGGGGAGGGTTTTAAAAAAATAATACTACCTAATTAGATGTTTCAAAATGATAAACATTCAAAAATGTTCTCGAAAGCTCTGTAAAAAAACCGTAATATTCTTAAAAAAATACTGAGGTAAGTGTCCCTGTTGCTACTCACGTCCCATTCACTCTATATAACTATACAAAGAATGTAGATTGAGTAGTGAATTTTTTTTTTGGTACAGAGTTCTGGAATTTCCGAAAATGTTTCAGAAAATTTACATTCTGTGTACACATTTTTGCCTCCCACGCCACTCACGCAAAGTAAATGCGACCAAACTTTCCTATGATCAGGAGGTTATCAAGAGCTATCTACCACCACAAACGCGATCGGTGAGTGGTGGGTGGTTGTTGAGATAAATGGGGATTCACATAAAAACGCCTATATGAAATTTAAAATTATGCAGGTAACCAATATTTTTGACATGTGTTAAAAAAAAAAAAAAACAGAAAATTATTTTTAACTATTTTTTATTATGCAAGTTATAAATTATTTACGTCAGGGTTGTGTTTTCTTAAATAACAATTATTCTATAAAAAAAAAATTAAGTATATTTATTTAATAGTACTTACCAAACGTATAAGTCTTCTAAACTTTTGAACTTCTTATAAACTCAGTTATTATGTGAGCTTTTTTTGTGTCTATCCATTGCATCTTTTTTAATAACAGATAATTTCTTTGAGTAGCAAATCTTAGAGAAGGCATCTTGGAAAGTGATTTTCCATTTTAGTCTTTTTATTTATATACAATTTGGCTCTTTTCGTTCTCCTTGTACAAAACTGAAATTTAATAAATTATTATGTAAATACTTTTACACTTGCCATTACCATTAGGTAATGTGTATTGACAACGACCACCAAAGCGTTCACGTGTAAATGAAAAGTTCGTTTCAAAGATAAAATGGAATTCTTGATGAAGAAATTCATAATTGATAATTACTAAAGTAAATAAATCGCAAGTACATAGGATACTATAGTGAATGTTTGTTTGGTCTTACTACACACAAAATCTGTGTTTAAAAAAACGTCTCAAATGATAAAACAATCTAAAAAAAAGTATATATGTTCAATGTATGTACATATTGCACACAAATCGAGGGTCCCGGCAAAAGTATCTATTATAATATTATATTGGAGTTTAGTTCATCTCCGAATTTTGTTTAGTTTATTATGTAAATTGTAAAGAATAATATAATGACAAGAAAAGTGTCAACAACAAAATTGAATTTTACTGACTATATTTTGCGCCGACAAAATAAAATATGAAGGTGTGTTCATGTGTACCACATAAAATGAGCTTTACCTGACCTAATTTAGTCACATCTAATTTGGATTTATTCGCATTGTATCTACACTGGATAACCCAATAATCTAGTTCGTATACTGTACATCACGATCGTTAAATAATGTATGTATTTAGTACGATTTTTTTTTGGGTAGGGGGATAACCTAGTGAAATTAAATAAAAACTTTTACGAAACAGTTCTTCATTAAATTCAAAATTGTCTCGACAGGCGATACGATTATAAACCATTATTGTGTAATACAGGACCATTGATGTGAAGTGCAAATCCCTAGAGAAGGTTCTGTGGAAAACTCAGCCAGAGAGTTATAAATTATTCGTTAATTTCTAACCTTCAGACGATAAAAAAATATATTATATACAATTTCTTTAACAATTCTATACAATCGATCGTTAAAAATATTAACATTTCTAAAGGTATAAACATTATATAATTTATTTTTTTACCCTACAGCTATAAGTTATAACCTAAGAAAACTTTATTTAGTTACTAAAAGCAAAAGTTGAACACCGTAAGCAGTATTTTCAATTAATAACACTATGAAAAATTTATTATGACCTCGAGGAAGTGTTTTTTTTTAGGTTGAATACCTTTTTTTATTAATAAAATATGTCATGACGTCTATATAAGAGTGTTCTAGGTTCAAGCAATTAACTTGTTTTGTGTACTTTGCGAAATAAGAAATCACCTATTCATATGATTACATTCCGTCACTCCAAAATATAATGTACCTTACCTATATTCTATATCTATATCTAATTATTGATGATCAAAAGACACAACATTAGGTAAATTTATTATGATTAATTCAAATGAGCTAACTAGTAAATATTTGTACCGTGTTTATTAATTCGATCTTTTCTTTTAAATAAAAGAAATTGTCTTCATCTAGAAAATACAAAGTAATTTTTTGGAATTGCCATCAGCCGCTGCCATTTAGGGCTTCTTTTCATTTGTTCAACGAATTAAATTAACAAAATAAACGATAAATATAGTTAATACTATTTCATTTGAGTCCTGTAGTGACGAGCTAAGTAATAACATTGTTAACACTGTTAACAAGGGATCAATTACTATTTATGGTAGAAATCAAACAAATTTGAGAGTTTTAATTTCAAAACTAGAAGTGCTAACTACACTCAACTCCCATCGCCTCCTTACATTGCGCCTACGTCGCCGGTTTCTACTTACTAAACATCATTTTGGTCATCGCTATTGTAATATAACATAGATAAATTCATTTTCAATAATATTTTTTACTTTTTTAAATTTATTATTTGTTACATTGTTTTAGAAGTACAGGGTGGGTCAACTAAACATCCAATAATTTTCTCAGAAATTTTACAATTACCCAATTTTCAAATAGTGTCAATTTTTTCAAGAGCTCTATAAACTTTCTAAACTTAAAAAGTAACTTATACATTTTATTAACTTTTTATACTAAAAATAGTTACTTAATTAATTTACTTGAAAATTTTGACTAGTCGATAACTAGTTTTAAATAATTATTTTGATAGTTATTAAAGTTCAAAAGAGTCATCGAGCAGCATTGGTGAACATAAAAAATCTCAGGAGGAGCCTTATTTTTTTGTCAAAACTATAGAACTTTTAAGCCAATGTAGGCTTGAAGAAATATTGGGCGTAGGCCCTTCCCTATTTGCGCTATCTGTGAAAGGAGAGATGCAATACGGTATTACTTTTATGTGCCTATGACCAATTAACAGTGACATAAGATTAGTCTTTATTAAAAATATTTACTAAGAATTACTTGCACTGGTAATCAAACAGTGTATAATAGACTAATAAATAACCATAGTAGTTGTATAAAAGTAATATTGTTTTAATAATTTTTATTTTATAAATAGGTAAATACGCGAAAATTAGTTGCCTGTAATTTGCAGACTATAAATAAATAAATGTATTGAATTATTACGTAACATTATTATTTGTTATACTGCAATTACAATGTACACTGTATTCAAATTAATAACTATTGTTATATAATCCAAAATGATCTTTTAAGAGTCTACAGTCTATGAAATACTAAATAATTTGAGTCTACACAAAATAAAAAATAAAATATTCGTTCAATGGTAGACACTAAACAGGTTAATTGGCTAACACACACGTTGCGTCCATTGTTGTCAAAAAATTATACGGTTTGGGTCGTGGTTTATTTTTGCATGTATTTAATCTATGTTTACTTAAGTTTATAACAAGTTTGTAATACTATTTTTAATTTATAGCTTACTACTACTAGGTAATACAGCAGCAAATTGTCTGGTCAATTTTATTCAAATATTAATTGTGAAATTAGAAAAATTATATTTATAGAGGATAAAGTTTGGTGTATAAATTGTTGAACAGCAGCTGTGTGTAATTTGTACATTATTATACTTGTGCTTCATTTTCGTTTGATTTTCGAGTGAAGTAATTAAGGATAATTTCGAGATAGTTCATAAATATGTTATTGTGTATTATTTTTTTTTTTTTAGGTTTGATTAAGAAAGTCACATGTTAAGAGAGACCAAAGGCGGCGGAGGTGTTGGGTGCTAGTAATTATTTCGTCTTTTATGTATATTGCGTTTTTAATTTATTTATTTTCATAGAGGATATATAGGGTATCCTAGCCCCTCTCTTACCCCTTCGCGCACGAAATATCCAGTCGTTGCTTGCCACGTTCTGCGTGCGATTTAATTTCTCTGTCGCTCTTTCAGAGTACAAATGTAGGAGTGCGCTCGTTCGTGTGAGTGTGTATTTGTATTATAATCAACCCACGAAAAATAGAGAACGCTTAAAAATGCTGTTCGCAAGTCGACAGTGGCGATGTTCAGAGGGTAAAACAATTGAATACATCGTACGCTTTTATAGCGCTTCATTGCAGTTGCCC